CGTGTCTTTCATCCCCCAAGCATCTGAAGTGAATTCATACGGGATCAACTGCTTGACGCAACAACAGTGAAATGTTTGCACGATCCCCAGTATTCCCAAATGGTGAAGAGATTGTTGTATTAATAACACTCGAGCCATAATCCTTCGAAGTCACATAAACTTCCACTTTAGGCACTAAGCCGGCTCTGTCTAGGGAGTTAAGTCTCGAATACGAAAATTAAATGTTATAAGGGCCTTTATAATTTCTCTCACACAACAACATGAAGAAAATAGAAAAAGAAAAAGAAAAAGAGGTAATTTCACAGGCTGGTCAGCGAACTCTTGCCATGACCGTGCAATATTCTGCTCTTAGGATGATCCACAAGAACAGACGCAGCATCAGCATGTGATAACACGGCCTCCAAGACGTAATTGCCCAACAGGGATCTTGCGGCCGACATTGCCCAGATTAGCCAGCGCAGAGAGAAGTCATACCCAGGACAGGTCTCTCGGCGGCAGGAGCACGGTTAATCTGGGAACAGTGTCTGGGGCGTTTGACGTACGAACAGGGTCGAGATATTGTACATAGTTTTAGCGTCGCATCTTTCATCATAATCAACTTCCAATTTGTATAATTGTATAGGGTTGCCTACCCACCTACCTTTGTAGATAGATATATAGATAGATGCACAAGCACATATATATGCACTTATACACATACACATACACACACACACACACACACACACACACACACACACACACACACACACACACACACACACACACACACACACACACACACACACACACACACACACACACACACACACACACACACACACACACACACACACACACACAACACACACACACACACACACACACACACACACACACACACACACACACATACACACATATATATATATATATATATATATATATATATATATATATATATATATATATATATATATATATATATATATATATATATATATATATATATATATATATATATATATATATATATATATTACATACATACTTACATTTGTGTGTGTTGTCTGTCCGTCCCCCCCCCCTCTCTCTCTCTCTCGTAACACACGTAATCAAGCTCCTACTATCACATCTCAGAAAATACACCCTACCATAAATAATAAAGAAAGATAATACCATAAATCCCCATAAAAGATAAAACAAAATTGGATTACCACAATCCCATTATCAGCGAAGATCGGAGTCTTAGCACGAGAGAGGGACGAATTCACTCCTCAAGCCCGAAACTAAATACAGATTCTAAGAGGCAGTAGGAGGGGAACGGGCGTCAACCCCCCCCACCCCCACTCCACCCCTCCCCCCTGTTGCAAGTCCCCGCCGCTCTGGCCACTGCAGCCTCTCTCCGGAAGGGCGGGACGGGATGAAGGATTTACTGGAGTCTGCACTTACTGATGGATTAGAGCAACTCGGATAAGATTGTGGGAGGAAGGAGAAAGGAAGGAAGGAGGTAGGGTTAGGAGGGGAAGGGAGGATTGGGGGTGGGGTTGTAGGAGGGGGGTGGTGGGAAGGAAGGGAGGGGATTGTGGTGGAGGAACGAGGACGGAAGGGGGCATTGTGGTAGGAGGAAGGTAGGGGTAGGAGGGGAAGGGCGGAAGGAGTTAGGGGGGGAAGGGAGGATTGAGGGTGGGGTTGCAGGAGGGTGGGGGGAAGATTGTGGTGGAGGGGGGAGGAAGGAAGGGAGGGGATTGTGGTGGGGGGAGGAAGGAAGGAGGGGGGGATTGTGGAGGGGAAGGGAGGATTGGGGTGGGGTTATAGGAAGGAGGGGTGATTGTGATGGAGGGGGGATTGTGGTAGGGAGGAAGGAGGTAGAAGTTGGATGAGAAGGAGGATTGGGGTGCGGTTACAGGAGGGGATGGTGGTGGTGGGGGAAGGAAGGAAGGAAGGAGGTAGGGGAAGGGTGGATTTTGGGGGGTATAGGAGGGGAGGGAGATTGTGGCGGGGGTGGGGGGGAAGAAGGTAGAGGTAGGAGGGAAGGAAGTATTGGATGGGGTTAAAGGAGGGGGGGGTTGGGGTCGGGAGGAAAGAGGGGAAGAGCTTGTGGAAATACGAGGGGAAATGGGTGATGGATTAGGGGTTAAAATGAAAATGAAAAGGGAGGAGAGCGAGGGGAAGGAAGGGTAGGAGGCAAGGAGGGGGGGGGAGGAAGGAGAAAGGGATCGGGAATAGGAGGGGGGGGAAGGACGAGGGAAGGATAGAATGAGAGGGGCAGAGGGGGGGGGGAGGGGATGGAGAAGGTGGAAGGAATGGATGGTGATGGGGTAGGAGGGAGTAGGGGAGAATAAGAAATTTGGAAGGAAATAGGAAGGTGAACTGGTTAGTAAAAAGGAAGAAGGAAAAGGAAAGAGGGAAGGGGATGAAGATGAGAGGTAAGGATAGATGGAATAGGGGATAAAGGAAGGAAGAGAGGAAGAGGAGTGATGAGAAGGTAGAAGGAAATGAAGAAGAGGGAAATGTAGAGAAAATAGAGAAAGGAAGAAAGAAAGAAGAAAGGAGAAGAGAGAAAGGTAGACATAATAGAGAAGAGAAGGGAGAAAAAAGAAGGGAGAGGAGAGAAAAGTAGAGTAAAGAGAGAAGGAAAGGGAAAAGAGAGAAAAGCAGAGGAAAGAAAGAAGGGAACGGAAAATAGCGAAAGGTGGAGAAAAGAGAGAAGGGAAAGGAGAAGAGAAAGGGTAGAGAAAAGGGAGAAGAGAAGGAGGAAAAGATAAAGAAGAGAGAAAGGTAGAAAAAATAGAAGAGAAGAAAGAAAGAAGAAGGGAGAAGAGAGAACGATAGAGAAAAGGGAGAAGAGAGAAAGGTGGGGAAAAATGGAAAAGAGAGATAGCTAGAAAAGTGGGAAAAAATGTAGAAGAGAGAAAGATAGAAAAAAAGAGAATAGAGAAAATTAGAGAGAAGAGAGAAAGCTAAAGAAAAGAGAGAACGAAAACCTAAAAGAAGAGAAAAGAAAGAAAACTAGAGAAGAGAGAGAGAGAGAAAAAAAGAGAGAGACAGAGAAGAGCGAAAGCTAGAGAAACGAGAAAACGGGAAGAACCGAAGGCAGAGCAGGACTGGGCGCCGAATCTCCGAATCTCCGAATCTTCTCATCGAAAGTGATTCACTCCGGTTAGTTGGCTCTCGGCGCTTCCCTCCTCGGCGCTGATTCTCCATCACAGAGAGAGCGCAGGATCTCCCCCAAGGAACGCACCTGCTGTATATGACCCAATATTTCCCTTAACACAACAGATGTTCCTGCAGATAACGACTCCCTGGAGATATATATATAGGTGGTGGTCGTTCCTCTTCCCTCCCTCTTGCTCCTCTCTGTCTGTCTGTCTGTTCATCTATCTGTCTATCTTTCTCTATATGTATCTATCTGTCTGTCTATATATCTATGTCTATATATCTATCTGTTTTTCTGCCTGTCTGTATCTATTCATCTGTCTATCTATCTTTTTCTCTATATCGCTATCTATCTATCTGTTGGTCTGTCTGCCTGCCTGCTTGTTTGTCTTTCTGTCTATCAGTCTCTATCTGTCTATATATCTATCTATCTGTTAGTCTGTCTGCCTGCCTCTGTCTGTCTATCTGTCTCTATTTATCTGTCTATCTATCTTTCTCTCTCTATCTGTCTATTTATCTATCTGTCTGTCTGTCAGTCTGTCTGCCTGGATGCCTATCTATCTATCATGCAGTATTTCTAATAATCATTTTCGTCATGGTCATAATTATCATCATCTTCGATATCATAATCATTATCATTTTCATGATCATCATTATCGTTTTCATAATCATCACTCCTTTCCCTCCTCCTCTTCCTCTTCTTCCTCTCCGTCCTCCCTCCACACCCTTTGGTCTCCTCCCCCTCCTCCTCTCCGCTTCCGTTTCCCATAAATGTTTACGAGAGATCTTTTGCAGGAAGAGCGAATGCCGCTGTTTACATTATTTCAAAGATCAGCTCAACACCGGGCGGAAATATCATGCAAGGGCCTGATCGATGGCTGTTTTGATGTGAAGGATAAGTAGAAAAGGGAATATTATATGTGTTATGTAATGGGGACGTTAGAAGATGCATGTAGATTAGTTCGGGTTGTATTGTACGTGGGAGGAGTTTGAGGGAGATATTGCGATGTATCTGTTGTTTTATGGAATGTCTTGAAAAACCTTGAGTGAAAATGACATCTTTGTGTGTGTGTGTGTGTGTGTGTGTGTGTGTGTGTGTGTGTGTGTGTGTGTGTGTGTGTGTGTGTGTGTGTGTGTGTGTGTGTGTGTGTGTGTGTGTGAGTGTGTGTTTGTGTGTGTGAATGTGTACGGGTGTGAGTGCGTGTTCTATCGCGTTACCATAAATCATACATTTAACTTCATAAAATTCTTGTTGATTATACATATCAAGTCGGCAGCCTGTGATTTTTAGTATTGAATAAAAAAATAATCCAAGCTAACAATTCAGTTCAATGAATCAGCAACTCACAGCAGTGATATATCATGGCCAAAGGCAAAGAAAAAAGAAAAAAAGAAAAAAAGAGAAATGTGTTAACGTAAAAATAAGTATAAAACCCCATGAAGTGTTAGTGTTAAATCCTCCCTTCATGCAGAAAGGAGATACATTTTGATTTTCTCTCAATATATTGCTACAAATCAAGATAAATGTTAGTGTAATAATTATACATACATACATACATACATATATATATATATATATATATATATATATATATATATATATATATATATATATATATATATATATATATATATATATATATATATATATATATATATATAATATATATATATATATATATATATATATATATATATATATATATATATATATATATATATATATATATATATATATATATATATATATATATATATATTATATATATATATATATATATATATATATATATATATATATATATATATATATATATATATATATATATATATATATATATATATATATATATATATATATA